GATGGAAAACGAATCACAATAGTGTGCATTGCATTGGCAATGCACACTGACAATGATAGTAATAACAATGATGATGATGATAATATTCTTATTCTTATTCTTCTTCTTCTTCTTCTTCTTCTTCTTATTATTATTATTATTAATAATAATAAGTAACAAAAAAGTGAACATTTATTCTTACACTCCTAAGCTTTAGCTTGGTTCTGATGTAGCTAAGGCCCCACACTCACTGTGGGCTCCACAACCTACCTGACCTGTTAAAATGATGTTAAATCATTCTGAGTTTATGTCACAGACACTCTGCAGTGGCTGATTTTTTATGTTGTACTGTGTTTGTCTTCCACTGCCATGAGGTCTAAACATCAACTTTAATATGGGGGAAATAACTCCATTAACTTCTGTTGTCCAAAACTAAGCCCCAGATGTTTGTTGACATGGAGAACAGATGTTTGTTGACATGGAGAACAGATGTTTGTTGACATGGAGAACAGATGTTTGTTGACATGGAGAACAGATGTTTGTTGACATGGAGAACATGATATAAATCTTGTCCTGCAGCCAGATGTCTGACTTCAGCTTTAAACACTCAGTTCTGTCGTGTTTGAACATGTCGATGGTCTGAACTCACTAAACTACGACTGTTCTACTCCTGCCAGTAAAACCAGATGGATCAAACATCCTACCTTGTCCAGCAGATCTTCTCAAACAGTTGCTGCATGGTCATTTTGTCCCACTCCTCAGCATGGGGGGCTCTCCAGGGGGCCTCTCTAGGAATCTWAAAGACCGGCCGAGGTCGAACAAGAATGAACATAGGAACACCTGGGACCAGGTAAAACACAAGAGCAGCACTAAATCTTACTGTACCTCTTTGCCCATGTCATCCAGGGTCCTGAAGAGGTTGTTGAAGTCCAACAGGACGATGGGGTTCCACATGGGAGGAAAGGAGCCTTTGAATGGGTACGACTTTCCCTGCAGGATGTTAAAACAGTCTTAACAATTATCACAAAAAAGAATTGTTTGATCATGTTATWTCAGTAATGTAATAATAAGACACAGTGTGAGTCTGCAGTGGTCAAATGAACAGTGTGTTGGTCATTCTGATACTTGACTGAAACTAAGAAGATCACAGATCTCTTGTTCAACGGACCAGGACCTTCTGTGTGTTGGACAACAGTTATAAGTACAGATCCATACAAACTCAGATTTTCTATATTCCTTCAGCTCACTTCTATCACAGACGTTTCTAACACGTTGTTAGTTTCAAACCGTCTCAGAGCTGTWCCTGATCCCTGCAGACATTAAACATTAGAGCTGCTTTGTTGAGTCAAACCTGCAGCCACATGCTGAGTCCGAATGTTTGAACAGGAAAGAAGTGTGTGCACAGCAAAAGAAGAGCTTATGTAATGTTTTACAGCTCATTCAGGGTCATTAAACCTGATAACAGCATCTGTAATCCACCTGTGGTTTGAATGAATGTCGGCTCTATCTTCAACCTAATGACTGCTTTGTGAAAGAGAAGCGAAAGGTGAAAGGGCGGAACTTCAAACTGATACAAACTACTGTGTTAACAAGCAGATTACATGTTCAGAACAGAGTTTACTGTTTGGACAAAGGTGACTTCTACACTCTTAATTTCTGCCAACGATMGATAAATGTGTGGATAAAAATAAGTTTCTAACAGATCTAACAAAACTAATCTGCCAGTAAACGTATCAGTAGGACCACTCAGCCAAACTTTAACTCAATAAATAATTCATATTTTCCACAATTTCTATTTATTTAGAGCCATTGTTGTTACACAGAATTGTTTGTAAATTTATTATGAATGTTTGTACAGAAGCAAGGTTTTAAAATAAAATGCACAACCACAAACTGTTCACACGAACAATGAACAACTTGATTTTTTTTTTCTTATTTGGTAAATTCAGTCTTCTGAAGCACAAGTTAATGGAAATTTAGGAAAACTGTTTTTATGTGTAGAAAACAGAATTTGGGCTACCTGATGAATGAAGACATGAACACAGGTTATATAACAGATGGTKAATTATCTTCAATTATAAAACTGTATTCAAGGTGCTCTGACTGGAACTGATCTAAACACACATGAACTTATGAGGGTCTGAAGCACGGTCACTGTTTAACCTTTTAATGCACAAACACTAATGACKATTTATCAGTGTGAAAAAAATATTTAAAGAATATTGCTAGAACATTTATTTTGTTTTTAAATGCAATYAGAATTAATGGGTCTGGAAACAAATGTTTTCCATACTTTTTCATTATTAAAACCAAATTTCTTACTTTTAAAGATTGAAGAATACTGTTTTTAGGTCCAATTCCAACATGTGGTTGTGTTGTCTAATAAAAAATATAGTTTGAAAGKTTAAAATACACAAGTCAGATTTCACAGTATTTTATCTTTTATAAACTCAGTTACTTATGTTCTTTGGTGAATGGCACAGTGTTTGGATTTTGACTGATGTATTAAAACTTAGTTTGAATTCTGCTGTAGGATAGAACACAGGCCTAGAAACTACCAAAGACACAAATATATTTGCAAACTTAACAAAGGTATTTTGATAAGTTTGCATGAAATCACAGGTGGATTTGAGCAGTGGTTTTCTGGCCATAGGTCACTCTGAATCAGCTGGGTGAACTGTGGAAGTGACAACAAGTCTCCTGAAGAAATTTATAATTATTACAGATCAGTACTGATTTCAGAAACCACACCAGAGTATTAGGGGTTTCTTTTTATAACATTTTTATAATGTTTGATCTACTATGTGTTAATTGAAATAGAGTATATACATGTCCGAATTATTAACAACACATAATTAAGAGCTGTATTAACATAATACCCCTTCACTGTCCACTTTTAAAGCTCATCTTAAAWCCCATCTATTTTACTTGGCTTTCAACACCAGCGGGATTTAGTTTTAAATTGTATGTTTTTGTTTTTAAACCGTTTTTAATCACTTTTTGTTATGTTGTTGTTTTAATGTACAGCACTTTGTATCAGCAGTGGTTGTTTTAAAGTGCTTTATAAATAAAGTTGGTATGGTATGGTATAAGTGCGAGGTCTTTTGTCTGAATGCCTGTGATTCCGCCGTAGGCCAGCAGAGGGCGAACTCAGGCATTGAAGATCCTGTTCTGTATTTAAACGGGGACTTCCTGTTTTTCATTCCGTGTGGTTTGACTTGTCAGCCGGTGACATAATAAACCTCATTCCAGAATTCTGGTGTTGTATGACATTTATTTCCTATCGCAGATCAGTTTATTTAACACTTGTGTTTTCATCTGATTGTCAGCCGATATTAAAACACGTATTTCTTACACTCCTTTAAAATGTTGAACAAAATGTTTGCTAACGGAAGAGATGTTCACTTCAGTTATTCATTTCTTTATAAAACAACATAAATTCAAAATACAACAAAAATACAAATCATAAATTAAATGAAAGGTAGCAGAAGAAGATAAAGTCTTATTATATCTGCCCCTTTTTCTCAAATAAAGATGTCATCTATCAGTTCATTAACTGATGGTGTCACAACAGCTCACAACATTAAAGACTTACTGTTTAACACAATAATTTATCATTCTCAGCTAATTGGTTGACTTTATTCACTATATTTGTAGCTTGGAAGTGAAACAGTTTCATTTTGTTTACATCAGACACATGGTTCATCTCGTTTGATTTTTGATTTGATTGATTTATTTAACAGGAAAAGATTACTAAAAATCAAGCCTGACTCAGCATAATTGCTGTTTTACAGCAGGTTCCTGTTCTGCAGCACATAAAACACTCAGAATTACAGCATCACAATCACATCATTATACACCATAGACACAAAGACAAACAAGCATACCAMATTTCAGGAAGGCAGCATTTGCAAAATAGGACGTCTAAATATGAGCACAACAAAAAGTGTCCAGCAGATGGCAGACAAGATTCTTCTTAAAGGGCTGTAGTTTTGAAATGGACTTTATGTTTTGAGGAATGTCATTCCATGCTTTAGTATAAACATAGAAGAAAGACCTCTGGCCGTAACAGTTTTTAAAAGTTGGTAATATCAGTTGTCCTTTTGTAACAGATCTAGTTGAATGACCACTTCCAGAATTTGATTTGGGCAACAATGCACAGAGAGTTCCATAATTGGCACCTTGGAAGATCTGAAAATATAAATTAATACCACTATACAAAACATAATTCTGAAAAGTCAAGGCATCAGACAATGAAAGAACTGTACAGTGATGAGTCCAACCAGGAAGTTTTTTATGAATTTTGTAGGCCCTGTTGTAGAGCCTAACTATGGGTTCTAAGATTTCATTTGTTGTAAGAGACCAAACAGGTAAACAGTACGACGTGGTTGAGAGTATAATGGCATGAAGATAGATATTTGAAACAGAAGATGTCAGATTGGATCTAATTTTTGAATAAACGTATAATTTCTGTTTCAACTTAGTGGTTAAGACTTGTACATGATCACGATAAGTCAAATGAGAATCCAAAGTAATTCCAAGATATTTGTAGGTAGTGACAATATCAAGGGGTTTGTTTAAAAAASTGAGTTGATTTGTTATATTGAAATGTCTCCTGGGTGAGGAAAAATACAGGCACACAGTTTTTTAACATTAATTGACAAAAGATTATCTTGAAGCCAACCATGAAATGTCTGAACAGCTAAATTTAAGCAWGGCATTCAGCTGATGCCATGCCATCTACCTGAGTAATACTGACGTTACATATGTATTACTATATTTATTACCAAAGAACGAGGTTGTTTCTTAACAAGAATCTCTCCAGCAGCCATTGTTTAAAAGGTGGGGAGCATTAAAAACATAAACTCTAAAACAAAGTGAGTGGGTCCTCTGGACGAGTTCTTCTTTATTAAAAACACAAATAAATTAATGACGGCAATCCAAACATCAGCCTTAAGGCCCTGTCACATTAGACAACTTATGAACATTTTAAAGACGTCTACAATGAAGATGGAATTAAAAAATCAACAGGAAGCTTCTTTGCGTGTACATAATGTAACTGGAACAAATTAAAAAAGGGGCAGATATTGTAGGATTTTTTTTCTTCTTTCTGCTGCCTTGCATTTTATTTTGATATTGTATTTATTGTACTGTATGTAAAAAAAATATTTTTAAAAGGAAATTGTTAGTTATGTTTATTGTAAATTGAAGAATTCTTTTTGAATTTGTTTGTGAAAAAGSGGCAGGGATTATAAGATTCTTTATTGTTCTGCTACCTTTCATTTAATTTAATTTATGATTTATGCTTTTGTTTTATGTTGAATTTGTGTTGTTTTTTAAATGATAAACTTTAAACTAAATTGATCAAATATATAACTTTTATCAGCACTTTAGACATAAAAACTGATTCATAAGTTGTGTAGTGTGACAGGGCCTTTAGGCTGAAGTTCTGCTTGTTAACTTGAGTCTTATCAATGCTACAAAGAGTGTACAGGTAAAACTAACTCCACTGAAGTTYAACAGCTTCGTTTGGGTTCAGATCCAGACCATGGTCCACTTTTTGGAGACCTTATCCACAGACAAAKATGTTAATGAGTCTATTTTTTAATTGACATGGTATTCAGGATAATAGTATGTGATTTCCTTAGTAAGGTTAACCTGTAGATTCATGTGCAACAAACTCCTGGTTGGGACGTTACAGGGTTGCTTTGACTCATTCATGCATGTTTGAGAAATSCTTGGTGGGCTGAAGGTTTTTTTTTTATGTAGAAGTACGTGAAAATTATAATCTGTGAACGTGTAAAGATGCAGGAGATCCACAGTTCCAGCCTGAAGAACGGGACAATCCCACACTCTTTCTCAAGCAGTGATRAGAACAGAGTATTTCATCTCTGATAGTGTAGCTCATTAATGACTGCTGAGACAACTGCAGCCTGTGTGCTGATAAGGGAAACTAACTCTGGCCTTTAGGATTACAATCTGCCACAGAA